AAAAAAAAAAACCTTCTCTTTTAACTTGTTAATATTAAGTGGAATGAGAACTATAACTTAAATCTATACAACTGTTATTTGTTACATCTTAGTAATTATTCAACTTGAATTTTTCTTATGAGATATTTCCTACTGTGATTACCAATCAATGTTGGCAATATAGTCTTTAATATTGGGCATATATAACTCCCAAATATTAAAGTAGTCTCTGATATTAAGACTTGAATTCACTCAGGAAAATGCATTGTACCTGCTCCTCTATTATAAAATACATAGTTAACAAAAGAGATATAATCAAAATAAGAAAATACTAAAAAATCTAAACCTTGCATAGATTTATTTGCTAAAATGTCGAGTTACATGAAAGTTTAATTTTTAAATATTGACACTATCTTATTTTTTAAGTTGCTTGTAGATTTTATTTACTGACAGTGGTACATGGAAATGAGCAAAACCATCATCTTGTTTCAGAAAGATTAAATGCTTTTGTGTACCAGGAAACTACATAAAAATCATTTTCCCCTTTTGTCTAACACTCCTTTTGTATTAAAATTTCATTTATGGACGATGATGCTGTCAGCTTCACAGCATGAGCTCTGGAGAGAAGGTTTGCTCTAATGGTTCTTCATTACAATGTCGACAACAGAATCTTATGATTAGCTCACTTAGGCTTGACATTGGTAAACCACAGTTTTTCCTTGATAACAGAAAACATCGTTAGCATTTCTAAAATTCATAACAATAATTCTACTCCTAGAAAGTCAGAAAACACAAATAAGATTTAGTGTTTATTTAAAGTCTAAGAAAACTGTAATGGTTTTCCTCCTAGCACACTTTGTAATTTTCAGATTCAAGTCACATGTAATACCTTCCTAAATTGAGATCTTTATGAGAAATTATTCCAAAACATTTTTCAGAAAATTACAATATGACTTAATTTTTCAAGCATATAATTATTTTTCAAGCTTCCTATATCAATAAACTGATTTCCAGTTTTGATCAATTTTTCCCATTATGTTGTTATCAGGTAACTATATATAGTTGGTTCACTGCCAGACCCAAGTAAAATTTGTCTCAATTTTAAAATTAGTGCTCATTGCGATGTTACAATATAGTTTAAAAAGTAAGTTCCTTACTTCTCCCTGTGCCTTATGGAGTTCCTTCGCTGTCATTGAAAGAATGATTTTTTCAGTAATTTTATCTTTCTGTTCATCCACAGCCAGGTTCAACTAGAAAAAAAAATAGGCACCTGTTTAGACCTAATAGCAACCTTTATTCAAAGAACTAACTTAGCACAATCATGAAATCTAATTTCAAATATTTATGTGAAAATGAATTAATTCCATTGAGATAAATAAGTCTAAAGTTTATATTTAAAACATTCAACACTGACTTTTTCACTTCCACTTTTGTTGCTTTTAAATTTACTGAGATATGATTTGGAAGGGAATCCTTCACTGCAGATAGTTGACAATGGTGACTACTATTTAAAGTCATTTTATCAAAATGAGCATAGCAGCTTTTTAAATCTAGGCTGATAGTTCCTCTTCTGGTCTTTTATTGCCAGTAGGGAATAAATTGGCTGCTGTTATGTCAGGATAACAATTCAAGAACATAAACCAAAGGCAAATGTCAATTCAAACACTCTAGAATGGTTCAAAATGGTTTATAATATTTCACAACAAAGGATAATGTACCTGAAATACCTGAACAGTTACCTCTGATCTGCTCTATTCACAAAGCCAGATAAAGGTCTTCTGTTACTGCCACTAACTCTTGTTATAAAAAGTGAATGTAGTTCATTCTATATTACTTTATAAACAGTCCCCATGGAAACAAAATACTGTTTTCAACAAAAGGAAAACGCTAAACTCAATGATATTCACTCAATAGACTGGCATTAATAGAAAGAAAGAAAATAGCCTGATACTGAATCCTCTGAATTGGAATCTTAAACAGTTAGTTCTTAAACAATGGCCTTTCCATATTGTCTCTCCTTATTGAGGATTAAAAATGAATAATAACCATGTTTTTTGTTTTGTTTTGTACCAGTATGTTTTGCTAATGTTGTTATTGTTTTAAAGAGGTCTCAATTGTATGCCTGACCATGAGTCTTTAATCCATACCCTGCCTGAAGACCCACTCTTATACCTGGGATAAAATGGGGGTGGAGCCAATGGTATGGCCTCCTCAATCTAACTATGTATATATGCTATATGAGTAATATCACACCTGTGAACTCTTTTTAAAAATATATTTTTATTGATTTTAGAGAGAGGAAGGGAGAGGGAGAGATAGAAACCTCGATGTATCAACATTCATTGGTTGCCTCTTGCACGCCCCCTGCTGGGGGTTGAGCCTGCAACCGGGGCATGTGACCTGACAAGGAGTCAGACTGGGGACCTCCTGTTCCATGGGACGAAGCTCAACCACTGAGCAATACCAGCTGGGCCTCAAGTCTACTCTTTTTTTTTTTTTTTTA